ATTTCTGTCACTATGATGCACATAAATGGAGCGTCACATATCATACAAATTCACATTACAGATCGTGTAAATTTATGAGTCATTTAATGAAATATTTTAAATATTGTATGTGTAGTGTACACACTGTCCAGTTAGCTTAGGACCACCTGATATTTTACCCATATGGTGATAAATAAATATATATTTTGAGCATACCCTATTATATTATGTTTGTATTAGTGAACGCCGCATATTGAAATAGCAGTGACAGATGTACACTCCAGGATCTGTGTTTTTCGGTGTCCAGTTAAGTTAGAACCACTTGCTCTTTTCGTGAGTTTGGAGTTATTTGTGGCGCTAATAATCACAATGTCGAGGGGAAAAGCACTCACCGACAAGGAAAAAGGAAAAATTGAAGCATTCCGTCAGGAAAAAGTCGGCATTAGAGAAATAGCACGCCGGCTTGGTCGATCGCATCATGTGGTGCTCAACTACTTGAGAAATCCCGAAGGATATGGTCAAATTGCGAAGAAGACTCGCCGATCGAACTTTCCGGACGAGACAAACGTAGGATTGTTAGAATCGCTTCGAATTCTGCAAAATCTCTGATACAAATCAAGCAGGAGTTCAATTTGAGTGTATCCCGGGAGACTGTTCGTCAGGTTTTAGTCAAAAGTCCGTTCATTAAACGGGCTAAAAAGGCAAAAGCTCCTAATCTGACTCCATCTCACATCGAAAAACGCTTAAACTTTGCACGGAACAATATGAATCGACATTGGGATACGGTAAGTTATCAGTCAGACTCATGATGCTGTAATATTTAAATTTGTGAATATTGCACGATTAAAACAATTGTCTTTAACACTTTTTATTTTTGCGCAGACGATCTTCAGCGACGAAAAGAAGTTTAGTCTGGACGGCCCCGATGGATTTAACGGATACTGGCGCGATTTGAGGAAGGAGGAGCAATATTTCACGACCCGGAACTTTGGAGGAGGTTCATGTACATATGACATGGTGTGGCTTTTCTGCATCCGGTAAACTAGAAATCGCCTTCACGTCATTCAAGATGAATAGCAGAGATTACATCACGGTTCTGGAAACACGTCTGCTACCTTTCATGCGCAGATTTCGACGCAAAAAGTTCACATTTCAGCAGGACAACGCTGCTATTCACACGAGCAAGGAAACAAAACAATGGATGATGGACCATAAAATAGATCTACTCGACTGGCCAGCCCGGTCCCCAGACCTAAACCCAGTAGAAATCCTCTGGGGAATTATGGTTCGCAGAATTTATGCTGAGGGACGTCAGTATGCCACTGTATATGAGTTGAAATCGGCAATATCTGAGGCATGGGGAAATATTGAGAAGGCTGTCCTCCAAAACTTGGTAAACAACATGACGAACCGCATGTTCCAAGTTATTAACCGGAACGGTAAGGCAACTGATTATTGAAATGTCATATTCACTGTTTATGACATTAATCTGCGTTTAAAACGCAGCAACCTGATCCAAATCCGAAGTGGTTCTAAGCTAAATTGACAGCAAAAATTAACAAATATGCTCTCAAAATACATATATAACTTTAAGTTTTAACTAAATGACTGCAATGTAATATATAAATAATGAACTCAATAAAACATCAACAGTTGTTTTAAAACTTATCAAATAACGTTTTAATTATCCCAAAACATAGGTGGTCCTAAGCTAACTTGACAGAGTGTACCTACATGCTTCCATCAAAATTTAACATATACACATTAAGCAACGCTACTTCAGTGTCTGCTTAAGTCAGCATTTTGGCATAACCAGCAAGTATGAGAACGATTGCATCCATTGTGTCTCACCGTAAATTGTTCAACTAAAAATGACTCCTCGTCAGCATGTTTCAAGTCAGGTAGCTAGTTACTATACATAGAAATAAAGACAGTACATTCTAACTCCAACATCGGTTGTGTCCAGTTGTACAAAGATATCACATCCACGTACCGATAAGTTATCGGTGAAGTTTCATCTGGGGCTCACTCGCTGGAAACGAGTTGGGCCCCTCAAAAATATTAATAATACCCGGATGCCACATATGCAACCATCCATCATTGTAAGCAATATTTCTTGCAAGCTGCTAGTTTACGTTAAAAGGAAGTTTACAGCTTAAATTTTAGCATGCATGGATATTTACATCACCATTAAAATTCATAGTTTTTTGGTGTGTAGGTCTTGTCCATCTGAACAACTTTGCTATCAAATCCATCTGAGGGCAATCAATGAAACATGAATGTCACACAAGCTGAACTCCTTACCATAAAATAGGCCTTGTTCATCAAAACAACTTTGCCGAAGACTGAAATCTCTAGTCAAGATGTTAAGTTAGGACAAACAATGAAAATTAATGTCACATTAGTGCCACTAGTGGTGAGTGGAATCATCGCTGAGTTGCTGCAATTACGGCCTCCGCACGCTTCCGGAATGCACGGCAGGTTCTAATAATGTAGTCTGGATCCATTTCTCTCCAGGTACGGGTCAATGTTTGTCTGAGGCTTGCTGTACTCGGGTAGCTTTTAGAACAGGACTTGCCCTTCATGACGCGTAATATTGAGTAATCCAGCGGACTAAGATCGGGGCTTGATGGCGGCCACATATCCTTCGCCCAGAACGGAAGATGTTCCTGCAACCACTTCTGAGTGCGGTTCGAGAAGTGGTACGGAGCCCCATCTTGTTGAAATACAACATTTGGCTTCGGACCGTACTGTTCTTTGATCCACGGAAGAACATACTTACTTAAAATCCCGATTTAGACCTCCGTGTTGACCTTGTCGCCTTCTGGAATGAACACCGGGTCAATTTTTTTGCCATCGGAAGCCACCAATCCAAACACCATAACGCTTGGTCAGATACACGTTCTTGTGCTCGTCGGCCACGTCTTTTACCGGAAGAGAACTAATATACCGGTCGGTTCTGGAATTTGATACGGGATCGACGGTAAACATGCTCTCGTCGGTGAACAGGATTACCGGATTTTTTCGCTTAAGGAAGTTCAAGATTTTCTTGCATCGTTCGACTCGTAGCTCCCGGATGCGGTTGGTAATCATTTGAGTTTCTTTCCGTGCCCTCGACTTCGCCCAGCAATCTTCCTTTACGATCTTCCGTGCCGTAAAGTCACTGATCCCGTGTTCCTTTGCCATTTTCCATATTGAACGCACTGGATTCAACCGAATCTTCCTTTTGATAGCAGCGATAACCCTCGGAACCCGAGCTGACCTCGGACGACCTGTGGCCACCTTCGCGGATAGTTGTCCTTTCTTTTCTCAGTCTAAAACCCTTTTGACGGTCCACCGGGACACTCCCACGGCGATTGAAATGTCTTTTTGCGACATTTGCGCGTGGGACAAATCACGAATACGCTGCCACTTCGTCATGGTGCAACTGTCAAACTAAGTAAATCATTTTCTTTTATACACAGCCTACTACTACTACATGAAAGAATTTGTAAAATCCATAGCTAAATAAAAAAAAGTTAGAGCCTTTCAAATTGACCTGAGGTCAAAGTGACCCCAAAGTACAGACAAAGGGTTCATAATTCTCCCAAGAATTGGCTTAAGTTAATTTCTTTAAATTAAATTAAAAAAAAAGGGCCTGGGTTCAATCCCAGTCGGCGCCGCCAGGATTTTCTGAGACATAAAATCTCTGATCTCACACCTTCCTTCGGAGAGGAAGTAAAGGCTAACTAAAAGTAAATTGGTACGCCAATCGTTTTCTATATTTGTGTACATTTCCTAAATTAGTAGGGTAAATTTCATGTACCATTAGCATCGCTTCAAATAAATATGATATATGAATTATATAATATGAAATAAAATTGATAAATGAAAAATAGTGTTTAAAGGGAAGCTCACCACCACGAAAAATTTTGTTTTTCTAAAATTTTGTAAAATATTATCAAAAATACTAAAAAACCACGTGATTTAAGAAAAAAATATTGTTGATATAGGGGAAATGGATGTAATGTCAGCCTAAATGCCCCTAATTTGGGCCCATACATAAATTCAGCAATCGACTAAATTTTAATAGCGACCAAAAATATCCATTAGAACCGTCTCGATGACGCGTTCATCTAGATAAAATTGATAAATAGCAGATTTTTAACGATGGGCCCAATCTTAGATCCATAGGCCACCATTAGAGCCATTTCCCCTATTTCTTCTTTTTTTATAGAAAAAAAAATTCGAATGGAAAAAAAAAGTCGAATGAAATTTTAAGATATCTGGAATATCAACATCACTATTGCTGCCACACTGCCTACCCACAGCCATGTAGTTCATTTTGGTAAGGCTTATCGCGAGACCAATCATCCCTGTTTTCCTCTTAAAAGAAGCGAACGCCACTTCCACTTCTGTACCACCAATTCGTATAATAACGATATCATCCTTAAAGCCAACGAGGAGGAACTCGAGCTTTAAATTATAATTATAATCTCAAGTGAAAGTTTAATTTTGATGAAGCTCTCAACCTCAACCATGCTCGAAGTTTAGTGTTAAAGGTCTCAGAAACCTAAAAAAAAATGTTCATCACTCAATATGACCCACACGATCAAAACAAAACCAAAAGCATTTTTTCACATTAGTTCCAATAAGCCTGAATTGTTGTTAAAATAAATGTACCATAAAAATCACTCGGATTAATTATGATTGAGCATCCGGCGCGATGCAGATTTGATCAAAGCAAGCAACAAAGTGAATAGCTTATAGTCAGTATGCGCGGCCACAAATTTATACAACCTCACACGATCCCCAAAACGGGAAAACATCCGTAAAACGATAAAACTCCATAGAATAGACCGAAAATTTAACTAACCAGATCATCCAATTTATGACCACTTTTGTGCGTAGATTAAGTCTTTTGTTTTGCTCCAATCATGACTTGCTAGAAAAAGAATACCGACGGCAAGACGGTACCTAATCATTACCGAACGCAATCACTCATTCTCTGTTTACACTTTCGTCTCTTTTTTTTTTCACAGTGCTATGCCCCTCGCGGTCCGCATCGATCCAGGTGGAGAAGGAAGCCTACTTCAATGGTTCAGCGTACCTGAGGCTAAAGACGCCAATGACCCTGTGGAGCCATTCGGCGATTAGTTTTAAGACCTGCCGAGGTGAGTACCGACTACGTTCTTGAGCTTTGTTGTTTCGTTCCGGTGGAATGCTTTCGTTTTTTTTTTTTAATTTGTGTTATCAAATCTTTTCTATAGCTCTAGTTCGCAGTTTGACCCCGCCCCCACAAGGCTAGCACTAGTTCCCTTCGCACATTCCTGGATTGTGTAATTGCTATGATTTTTTTTTCTTTCGATCGTGGGTTCGATGCTCGAGAAAGCACGCGGTCTAGTTGGAAAGTATGTGTAATTATAGTAGTTTTTGAATCATAAGGGAAGAAGGGGCTGTCTTTAGGTATGTAAATTAAATAAATAAGTAGTAATAACCTCAAACCTTATTCCAGTCCAATTTGGCATCGAACAGATAGATGCTAAAGCATTCAAATGTCCCAGTTAACCCCAAACTCTCCTATAGGTTTCTTCCAAAATAGAGCCAAATTTGGCACTTTTTCTGTTCGAGGTTTAATAATCTACCATTAGCGCCTCAACGTGGGCAGGGTTAAATACCACCGGACGTTGCGTAACTCTTATGTGCGTGGCGAAGGAAGGTGGGCGCACACAATTTAACGGTAGCGCATTTGTCGGTTAACGGGTGCACTGAGGAAGCGAGAATGAACTTTTCAAACTTATAGGCCTAAGCTTTGCATAAATGTTAGGAATGAGCAAAGGACCAGCTGAATTCGAATCGAGGTGGGATTAGCTCCCTTGAATGCCATCTGATATTGATTAGAATCAAGCCTGGGATTCTCTTCTAGTATGACGTGAATTCCAGATGTCATGATCATGCGTTAAATTACATCAATATTCAATTTGTCCAATGAATGCCTAACAAGATTCCAACGTGCGATTTCCGGCATTGTTTCAAAGCATAAGGGCATAACAGTATATTCAAAGATCACTTTTGTAGTTTCTCAGTCCACTCAGCAACAAGCTGTAAATATCTGTTATGTACCATCTTACACCTCTCCAATCAGGTGTGAACGTTTCCTTTCATCCCTCCCTGGAGGGGTTTAACACAGTCGTCGCCCTAAACTTGTTGTCAGCCAGTTGATCCAATTTACCTGCAAGCAGCATCGTAAGTCGTAAAAGCAGAACAGAGTGCGTCCAGAGAAGAAGCTAGGGACACCCGTGGGACTTACGGAACTAGGTCTTCACGCGTTCCGTGTTTCTCGCATTCACACGCGGTGGCACTTCTCCTAATGACTTTGTTGTCACACTACTAACTGGCGGGCCCTCATATGTTTATTGGCGGCTTACATTTGTGTGCCGGTACCTACACTGGGAATGGGGTGTATAAGAAATGACACACGTGTAGCGTAGCCAGCTGGTAGGTAAAGGGTGTAACGGTCCATCAATTTGAGACGAATGTTTCGGCGCGGCTCCCGTTGGTGTTGATGGAATCTGATAATGGAACCGCGAAAATGTGATATTAAATTTTTACGGGGTTTATTTCCTGTGCTTATTATGTGGCCTTGTGTTATTACAAAAAGTTTATTACTTTGGAGAATTGTCCGTTAACAAGATTGAGTTGTATGCTTTAGTTTTTTTGATGTGCTATTTTCATCCCGATCGGTTGCAATCTCATGGTCCCTTCAATCAGTGCTGATATTTGTCATTGTCATTGACGGTCTTTTGAGCGATATTGACAAAATTGTTTATCGCGTAGTCACTAATAACCTTGATCCTAAAAAAACCTTTGTCAAAATCTCATTCTATTTTTCGACAATGGCAAAATTCACCTGACAACAAAACATTTAATTTCGTGCATTATGTGTCACATCATTGTTATCCAAGCAGCTCAGGACGTTCATTTTAACGGCTCCATGTAATTGTTTTGCTCAAGGTAATAAAAAAAATCGACATGGTTTGCCGTAACGATGACTGTTAGCTCAAATGAATGACCCAAGCAGAATTTTGAATATCGCCGTGTGTTGTCGAGATTTTACAGCACTGCCTTCAATACATATCGAGAAATTACGTTTAACTCTCTATAGTAAGCTTTTGAAAAACTTCAATGAATAACTCTTGAATGCATTGGAGCACGCTGTCAGCACACATTCTTGATGACTCAGATGGAAGGACAATGCCACATAACATATGTGGAACTCGATAATCAAAAATCGACTCCATTTCAGTGATTTCAACTGGTATAGAAAAACATCGATCTGTCAAATTGATTATACCAGCTGTAAAATGAGAAAGGGGATCAAGGGGGTAGTCAATTATATTAAAATAATTCTTGCGTGGTTTATAATTCTCTGTCTTCTTAGAACTTTGAACTTATGTCTTGGTTTTTCCTTAACTATTTACGTCCTTTATTTAAAACTATACAGCTAGCTCCTCACCTCGCGTCACACAGCAAACAAATATATTAACGTTTGAAATCAAAAAAGTATAAAATTTACGCCGATTTTGCATGCAATGACCTGTCACCCAACGATCAATCCTGAAATGTCATTGTAAACCATACGTATTGTTTTTCAGTAGTTATGGTAAAAAAGTGGGGAAACTCCACGCCAATACTTCTTCTTATTTTAAATCTGCATCAACCTTTGATTTCATTTTGGATTGGTAGGAGGAAAATACGACCCCGCAAATTAGGAGTTAACTGCATACATTTTGAAGTCCAAAGAGAAGCAGCATCATTTTGCAACAAGTGTCCCGGGTTATGCGGAAATTTTGCAGTGTTTTTGAGCTGACCATCGTTCCATTCGCAAGAATTTCGCAAGCAGAACGATAAATCAAATCGAGTGCTTATCGATACCTGTAAAGTGGACTCTACAATAATTGTAGATCGTATTGTCAATACATTCTATATTGACGTCAATATATCGAGATTGACAATATTTCTGAATTCACATCATCAATATTATTGTCAATATTTCCCCTTCGCGTCAACATATTGATGCGTGTGGGGTTTGCTTAATACCCAAGGATTCAATCCTCCATATGCTTCTCAGCTGCGGCTGAGGCTGCGGCCAATTGAAAATGTTTTAAGCAAAAGATCTACTTCGATTATTTTGCACTAAAAACGTGTAAAGATTGATCGAAAAGGCAGAGGAAGGGTGTTCCTAGCAAACTTTTTTCGATCACTATGGCTAAGGTCCCAACCTGGGGCTCCCAGCTAGCTATCTCAAAGTTAACAGGAACGGCTATTAGAGATGAATTACCCTTCAGCTAAAAATCTCTCAAATAAAGATATAAAAAAAAGGAACGGCTATATTTTCTAGCAACAATAAGTACTATTTACAAACGAAAGTAATCAGCCAATCCAGTCAATTTCCCCTACTACAGATGCCCCCGGAGGTACTCCAGTGGTTGCGGAAGTGGTCAATGTAGTCAATGATCCATTTAAAGTCCATAGAAAGGCTACTGATGAAAAACCACGAAGAAAGAGGTGTTGTACGGCATGTTTTGGTGTTATAATGCAATTGTCCCCTATCACAGGTTCCCCCGGGGGTACTCCGGTGGTTCCGGAAGTGGCCAATGTGGTCAATGCTCCATTTAAAGTCTATAGAAAGCCTATTGGTAAAAAACCATGAAGAAAGTAATGTCGCACGGCATGTTTTGATGTAAAAATGAATTTGTCCCCCACTACAGGTTCCCCCGGGGGCACTTCGGTGGCTCCGGAAGTGGCCAATGTGGTCAATGCTCCATTTAAAGTCTATATAAAGCCTACTTATGCAAAACCATGAAGAAAGAGGTGTCACATGCCCAAGTAACACTTGCAACATCTTGCATGAAAAATTAAAAAAATCCAGTTGCTAATAGGTTATATATTAATTGCTTTTGAAACATGCTGTTTTAGACGCGTTGTATTGTTGTTTGTGAAGTATTCAACCTTTCTGACAAGCACTTGTTATCTTGAAGTTATAATTCGATATTGCATGTCTCAATTACCAGTTTATAACACATTTATAACTGATTGTATTTGGTGAAAACTAGCTAGACTTATGTACAACATGTTTTCATATGTCATTATTAGAAACATGAATCCATCTGAAATATAACTTATTTGTAACATGTTATTAATAAGTTATATTTCAGTTGTACTCATGTTTCCAAAAATGATTTGTGAAAACATGTTGTATATAAGGCTAGCAAGTTTTCATCAAAAACAATCAGTTATAAAAGTGTTATAAATAGGCAATTGAGAGTTGCCATACCTAATTATAACTTCAATATACGATACAAGTAATGTTCTTGTTTTTCGTGTTATAAACATATTTTGATAAAAAACTGCACTACAATATGGCTGACCAATAAAGCAATGTATAGAATGAAAAAAAAAAACATTTAATTTGTGCTTTCAACATCACATGTACGTTTTGTAAAAGAGAAAAGCAAGATAATTTAAAAAGAAAGTTGATATTCTATTGGTTTATTGTTTTTTTTGCAAAGTTGGGGAATTTTATACAGGATTTTTTTTTCCTTTATTTAACGTCGGTCTCTGTTCCGCAATCTAGTGCCAATCACCGACGGACATCGATTGCCATCCATTGACAGTAATCGAATGTGCAGGAAGGCAGCTTCCACACCTGCGTAGGATATCGCACCCATTCACAACACACATGGGCCGGGACCAACGGCTTTACTTCCCTTCCGAAGGAAGACGTGACCAGAGATTTTTATGCCTCAGAAAAATCCCACCGACCTCGACTGGGATTGAACCCAGATCCATTGGGGTGTTAGAAAGCAGTCACGCTTACCTCTACACCACCGGCGCTGGCTAGGATTTTTTTATGTAATTCAATTTATTATATTAAGCTTTTTCTAAGAGCCAATGAGTTTTTTAGAAGTAGAATGTAAAGATTTACCATAAATTTGCAACCGCATAAATGTTTGCAGTACGGAATCTCAGTTAAGGCAGTTTATTCGCACGATAAAATTCCTCCGAATAATAAGTTGTGTAAATTGATGATAAACCAAATTCCATTCGTAGGAAGGATGAAATTAATTTACAACATGTCCAAAACAGTAGGTTGCGTTATAGTCATAAATAA